TCTATTCTGGGACTTGATGTAAATTTTTCATTAGAGAAAAATGCAACTCCTCTTCTCCGTGTCTTCATCTCTGAGCTCTATCATATGTCCTCTGGCCACTTTCCCCAGACATGTTCTTGCTTCACTTAACACATCAATTTGACCCAGTGAAGGGCAAGAAGCTCAGACAGATAAGCTGTGTCTCTAACATCACGCTCTGCTTCCCTATAAGCCTTCCTTTCTTGGTTTGTGTGTTCGTGTGAATGCCCAGCATGGCATCAGGTGGTCTTCAGCCTTCACTCACAGGGACACGTCTTCCCCACTGAAAACTGATTCCCTAGTTAATTCTAAAATGAAAGAAAAAAAATTACAGGAAGCTGCAGCAGAGTTGTGACTTAATGAACCAATGAGGAACATCAACCTAAGAAGWCTACGCTTTCCAGCCAGCTTTAATTTATTTGATGTAATTATAAAACATGATTTATAGACTTTACAGTTTTCCATCACTTCTGCTAAGCAGATTTTCCACTTTTTTCCCCTGATTTTGTTGTGGGTTTATGATTGAGTCAATCTGAAAATTAAATGACATGATCAGTTTATGATTTTTGTTTATCATGTTTTGGGGGGAAAATCCCATGTTTTTCTGAACAACTAAAGCAAAAAAWTTCTTTGCATTACAGTACGTTTTATCAGCTTCATTTGAATCTTTCTATTTAAAACTTCCTTCTTTCATCCTGTTTTTATTTCCTCCGTATAGGATTTTATTCTTTTTTCTCTCTTTCGAACCTCATTGGCTGAACAGAATTTTTCTTAGAAGTGTATTATATCCTGAAACATAAATGGTGATTTTTGCTCAACATTGCAAACAAATAAACAACAGTGGTTTCATGCCTCTGCCTTTGCTCTAAGTAAAAACAAAGTGTGGTGATTTGTGGGTGTTTTTCTTTTCATGGCTGACAGGTTATAAATAAGCTGTTTTAGTAATAGGACTGCAGCAAGGCGAGTTTAGCTGTTGGACTTTTTGCTATTAAGCCACATCAGTTTGCTGAATTAGGTTTGGGATTTGTATGCTAATACAAGCAAAACATATCAAAGACAACTGGGTGGCATAATAAATTACTCAAAATGTTGCATGATTCATATCATTCAGCACAAATGTCCAAGTTACCAAATGCTTCAAACATTGATTTATTGACCATTACTGAGGCTGCCTTTTGAATCCTGAATATTTGCACAGAACCTGTCAGTGATAAAATTCCAGAGTGCAACATAGACTATGTACTTACTTGGCAAAAATGGAAAATATGTTGTCTGTGTAAAATCAGTATTCCTAACTTTGTGTTCATTAGTGTAAAAATGTTATTTTTATTAGATGAAGCCACTCATAGTGCATCTTTCCTTTTTTACTTTACTTACCTGGCAGAATAAACAACCAACCAAAAAAAGAAAGATAATCTAAATTCACCTTTAACTACAGATGAGCTGTCATTAGAATAAAATCCATGCATTATGGTAGTAAACGTCCAGCTAGACAAAGGAGGAAAAATCTATATGCATAGGAAAGATAATCCACTTGTATTACTGCAGTCTAAAAGAAAAGCACATATAAGATGGTTTGCTAATGGACTTTTGAAAAGTGCACAGCACAAATAGTGGAAATTGTATTAAGTAAGCCTGATGAGAGGCATGTAAGTTTTCATAAGTCTTGTAATATAATGACTCAACAGCTAAGAAAGAATAAGCAATCAATGAAAACCAACAAGTGTTGCAATTACTTTTAAAATAGGCCATGTCTTTTTCCCCCAATCACATATTTTTGACTATTCTTCATATAGTTTGCTGAGACGAAAAGGGCATGGCATAAGAGGGAAAAAAGAAGAAATGATGAGCTGCATCTCTAATTATATCCAATTTAAATACTTCCTAGCAAAAATACAAAATGTCCCTGCCTTTTAATTGAAAGCTTGAGGCAGCATCAGTGCAGATGAAAAAAATAAAATAAAATACAAAGTTAAATAATCTCTCATGGACATAGGGTTTAATATTTCTGCATGGCTCCTTCTTCCCTTGCTAATTGTGAGCACAAGCATTTTGATTAGTAGTTCAGAAACTGACTCCACAACACTTTTCTCACCCAAACCTAAATTAGTAATTATGGATGTTGTATTATGAAGTAAAAAAAAGGTTAATTTGATTGCTGCACATGTATATATTGGTATATTTATTTTGTTATATTTTTCTTTACATATTAGGAGGAATAACTGAACATWTTTTTAAACAGCTCAGCTAAAATGCTTCCTATGACGATGATGAATCAATATATGTTTTTGCTTTTGGGGTGATGTGGGAGCTGTGTTTTTATGTCATTTTTATCTTATTTATTATTGATGTTCAGCACTTTGTTGCAGCTGTGGCTGGTGTTAAAGCACTTTATTAATAAAGCTGCAAATGATGATGAAACAAACAAAACAACTTAAAAAAAGGCATCTATTCGCATCCATGTTTTTTTCTGCTAGTCTGTTGTCTATGCTTGTATCCTTTTCTCCTTATACCATGATACCCCAGGACAAAAGTTTAATATGGTATTCAGGTACTAAAGTGTTTTTGTAGAAGTAAAGCCTTCTGTTATTTTCTACTTTAAAAATGTAGAGTTAAAAAGCACAAAACATGAATAGGTAAGCTAGAAGAGAGACTAAATGCAAAATTGCTATTGAAGAATAACAGCAGTTTTATCCATCCATCCATCCATCCATCCATCCATCCATCCATCCATCCATCCATCCATCCATCCATCCATCCAAATTAATTTTATTCACTCACTTGTGCTGCATAGCATAAAAAACAAACAAAAAAACAGACATGGACGCAAACATATGTAAAATCTAAAACATGCAGGGACAAGGTTTGCATAGAAGGTGCACAGATTAAAGCCAAAGAGTGGAAGGAAGGTTTGAATGCATCAAGTTAGACTCAGCTGTGAAACGGCAGGATGGAAGGAATTGGGGAAAAAAAACAAATGAATAAAGATTTATACTGAGAGGAAAACAAATCTTGGTTGGCATGGACAACCTATGTTTAGGGGACTAGGGCAGRGGCAGGGGCAGCGGATTTTATTGATGAGCAAGTCCAAGAAGATGCATGTGGGTGCAGGACTGACGTCCTCTGGGGATGCTCTGTCTACGGCAGCGATATGGGGCTCAGACAGCAGATTAGTGTTTCTGCTCCATAATCAATTTGCTGTCTGGATCCCACTGCACACAACTCTAAACAWCCACTTGTCGCTTGATCCTCCAGAATCTTCCCTTTCCATCTGTTTATTTCTCCCTAGGCCTATTTTSTTTCACCTTTTGTTTATGTCACCTTCAAACATACCGAAAACTCTAATCTTTATTGCTCAACAAACATTAAGCCAGCAAGAATGTCCCTTTCATGTTTCTATTCTTCAGGCCTTCTCTTTTCAAAGAATCTCGTACTTGTGAGTGTTTTAATTTACACTAGCWACAATAGATTCAACAAGGATTGCATTTCAGGGCAATATGGGATCATATGGAGCAAAAATATCATGGTGTGTGTTTCTACAAATGAAGAATTCAACCTTTTATAGAGGGCAGCCCATTAGCTGCACCTCACCCATGGGTCCAAGTTGGCTGCCATCTGCTCCAGTGCTTAGGGGTCATAATACAGGCTGACCAATCAATAACATATTACATGTTGGCACTGTGCACCAGCCCCAGTCTCGACTTTCCTTGCTTATTAAAAGCAAGGCACATTAAAGTCCAAAGAGGAAATGCAGTACATTTCGCACAGCCAGTACAACAAAGGACTACAAAGTGAAATCAAAAATTCAATTTCTATTGGCCAAAAAACAAGAACACTGTCCGTCAAAGTCTATTATATAGCAGCTTATTTATAAGGCTATTTTTCTGGACTTGCACTTTAATGCTATGTGAAAAATAAGTTTTTTTTTTCTTTGAGGACAAATGTACCGATATTTGCTGAAGGTCAACGTCTTTTTTATGGATCTGTARGTGCATGTCTAGGTCTGAAGAGGGGAAGAAACTATGATAAATGTCCACTAAGACGGTTTGTAGCCTACATTGAAATAGAGTAAGATAGTAAGTAGTAAGAGTATTTCTGCTCTGAGTAGAGAAGGCAGGAATGTTTTCACATTATTAAAAGGTATGAAACAAGCAGGGAACTTTCCATTCTAGATTATCTCACAGAAAAAGAAATAAATACGAAACATGCTGTGTATAAACAGGGTTTGCAGGAGCTTAGTGATCTTGTAATCCTGAAGCTGTGGGTTCAAGCCCAGGTTGTGTCAGGAAGGGCTTCCAGTGAAAAACAATTGCCAGATTTTTAGGGAGAGGTTGCTTGCTGTGGTCATGCCCCGAAGAGGGAAGCATCCATAAGAAAAACAACATGCAATACAAGAATAATGAAAAACAATCCACCTAAACGCATRAAATCTTGCTTCCTATCTCCCTGATACACACCTACTAGACCATCTAACAAGGTTTGGGAAAACAAAAATACAAATTTCAGAACCAGGGTAAAAAAAAGCAATGTTGTAAAAGAGAGTGAGATTTTGCCCTGCTAATGACACAACTACTTATCTTACCCCTGCATTGCAATCGCAAGCAAACCAAGTTACGAGAACACACGTTTGAAACTTCAGCCTGTCAGCCACTGTTTGCAGAGCTTTCATCGGATCAGGCAGACTGTCACCTCTACAGCGCCGATGTGACTCGCATGCGATCAAATTGCTTCGGAGGCAAGGCAGGGCTGATTTGTCTGTACAGAGTTTGTCAGATYTTTGAGGGAGGGTGCTGACAGGTGAAAATGTTTGAGGAAAAGTGCAAAAAAAAGGCATGTGCTTATGTGGGCTTTATTATGCAACGTGAATACTAGTCACTCTCATGGAGGATGATTTATCAAGAAGCTGAGTACTGAAGAGTCCTCAGTCACAGCTACAGTCGTGCTATAAAAAGGTGAGTATGAATCATCCTTGGCAGGCTTACCTCAACCTGGCTTCCATGTTGTTCTGAAAACAAAGACACAAAAGGGGAAGAGGGGGAGTGGGAAGGAGACAGTGAAAATTTTTAAACCTTAGCACAGATGTTGTGGATAAGGAAACAACAAACACTTAGAAAAAAACTGTAAACAATGCCATTTATATCATCATGGGTCTACAGATGGGGTGGCTTTAATTCCCACCAGTTAATCATCACTTTCATCCACCAGTTGTGCTCATGTATATTCATCAAGCATTAAGGAGTGATTTGGAGCAAAGCACCAAATGAGCTTCAAACAATATTAATGGACTAGCTTTACTACTGAGTTTTTTTTGGGACTTAAAAGATTTCCTGGCATTCGATTAGTGGACATCGTTTGTTGACTGTCAGAGACGTATGTGATGTAAATTATAAGCTATATATTTACTTACATWATTTTACATTTTAAAAATAAGTGAAATAATGCTTATTTTAGTTTGTATATTAAATGCAAATTCTTGCACATGAATAAAAATGAACATTAAGGTACCTTTTTCCCTTCATATAGTCTACATTTCATAAAGTCTGTGTTTCAAAGGTCATGCATTTTGTTATGAGTGTTTGCAAAAGAACAGTTCACACTTGTGAACCCAATTGTACTATAATTTCTTGCAAATAAGAATGTTGTATTTAGGCTACTACATCTCATGACTTGCTATGACTTTGCATTCTAGTCAATAGAGCTAGATGACAGGGGCTCTCAGTCACACACATGCTCCTTCTGCGAGGGATTCTGGAAACTGATTGGCTTGTGGATTTTGACCTGTGTGTATCAGAAGCCCCAGTAGATATAAAAACTGTGCTTTGTTTATCAAGGAGGTTGCAACCTCCTCAGTTTATCGAACTCTGAGGAATGTGCGACCTGCAATTGGATTATTATTATTATTCTCAGTATGCCTTATTTCCTTTATTTCTTTGTATAATAAATGCCACAAAAGATAAATGACTTGTTTAAATCTTGAGTCAACCATTACCTCAGAAAATCCATCACACGTGTGATTGTACCAGAAGGGAATGGTCTGATACATATTTCCTTTTTTACCTGTTAAAAACAAGCTAAATCTTGAGGGGAGAAAATACTATAAATACAGCACACTGAGTAAACAGCCCAGCTTTAGTTGACAAATGGTAAACCTGCTGTTACACGCTTACAAAGAATGATAAACTAAGCCATTAAAAATCAAAACCCAATTTTAACGTTAAATATGTTTTTARATTTGCACAAACATCAACATAACAAGGAGAAAAAGGTGAGCTGCCTGATTCTTGGCAGACTAAGATTTTTCTGCAGTGCTTGCAGAGTTCACACTAGATTTTAACATGAATGCATCATAAAACATTGGGCATTGCCCATTACCATGTGGTCATACGCCACTAGTGCCAAGTTAATAGAGCCTGCACATCCTTCAAACCACCAACCTGCCAGATGTACTGCTCAGATAGCCATAGAAGCAGCTAATGTGAACACCAGTGCTGCTGTATTTGAAAGGAACTAATACAATGTCCAATGACCAGCACTGATGGAGTTCACAATACAATGTCAAGTGTAATGCCTTCAGACTCTTTACACTTTATATTCTTTAAAATGTAGATAAAACCCTGTAACAATGTATTATGTACTACTGCAAAGTCACAATAAACACATATAGCTGGTACGAGTAAAAACAAAATTCAAGAACCAAACAAATATTGTATTTTTTCCAACCATGACTTGGTCATAACTAGCCTGGTTAAAAACCAGACCCTTGTTCATCGCTTTGCTTCATTRGAGGGTCTGGACTCTCGGCTATAGAGAAGCAATTCTTGCTGGAGGCACGGTCTCTGTTGAAGTTTAAAATGATTGGATCGGTTGGCCGCGACATATGTGTGCCAGCTCCACTGTGAAGGAGGCTATGCTAAGAAGCTAACAGGAAATCGTGTGCGCTGTAAACAACCCTACTGAGAGGAGAGAAGTACCGAGCCAAATGAGACGACTGTAAATGAGAGCTGCTGCTTTGTCAGACAAATTTAATTTAATTTGGAAGCCTTATCAACATGGACTTGGCTCCATCGAAACTAGAATTGAGCGGAGCTGTGTAAAAAGGCATGGGCCAGGCTAGGTCATAACCTCATAATGCCAAGGTTTATAACAGCATTTATTGGCAAACCTAATAAAGGTTTATGATGTTAGTACTATTGAAGATTCAATGACACTGATAAGTGAACTATAGCTTTGATACAAAAGGTCAAGCTAAACTAAAATTCAATGACAAATATAGACCTGACTTGTTGATCTATCGTATGAAATTCTTCTTCCTTGTGCTATAAAGTACCAAACATGCTATAACAATTTTGCATCACATCAAATTATTAGACTCTTTCTATACGCAGTAGATTGATGTATTCTTCTTGTAAAAGCTTATATTGTGTCTACACATAGATGATATAAATGGAAATGTAAACCTATTTAACCTAAACTTTTAGGCAACTGTTTACTGGGTGAAAAAAAATGAACTGCTGCCTCAACAAACAATAAAGTGTATTGTCTTTGTATAGTGTAAAATCAAAGTTTCACACCACAGTGAAAGTTGCAATAAAAACTGAATTGTCTTTGTGTGCTCACTTGTTAAATTTTTGGATTTCACAGAAGCAATGTTGCTGAATTTAATACAACCTGCACATCCAACAAACGTTAAGTAACAGTAACAATTACAAAACCACTGTTTGAAAGTAGTGAAGCTTTAAAGAGGACATTTTCTCCACAATTTAAGTGTATTAGCTTTGGGTGTCCCTGTGCATGGTCAAAAATTGTACTAAAGAAAAAAAAAGCATTATATACTGAAAAAAAGCTCGTATGAGGGTTGTTCCTAATGGCTACTTTAGTAAGGTTCATACAAAGTATAAACATTTGTCTCATACTTAATGATTTCTCACCAATCAATAAACCACTATGAGCTGACTAGGCATTGTGGAGGACAGATTACAGAGAGTAGCATAAATGTAGTGTTTGATCACTTATTATACTGTAGCACTGGACTTCAACAACCAGCACTATGATGACAGCACCATGAAAGAGCAAAACTTACAGAATCATAAGACAGTGGCTCTTTGGCAGCAGAGCAGATGASAGGAGAGACAACAAGTGGAAGCTGCAGAGAAATGACAGGCTGTTTGCTGAACTGACTACARTTTAGATCCAAATTTAATTAGCTTTGAATCTGAACAAATGTGAGTAAGTTATCTACTCTCTTACAATGTCAAACAGTAGACTCAAAAATCATTTTGTAAAATGAAAGCACAAAACTGACTTTACTTTAAAGAAAGCAGTATTTGCTGTAAAATGTCTCCCCAGAAACATGCAAATGTCTTACTAATGTTGTTACTGATGGTTAAATGAATAGTAAATTACTGAATTCAATGATATGTTTGAAAGGGAGTTATGGCTACAAACATTGTGTTACATACAGCTGAAAAAATTCATTCTGTAAGAAACAAAAACACTTAAGAATGAAAGAACATTGTTTTGGTTCAGTCATAAATTTCAAACATTTACCGAAGAGGCACATAAATAAAGCTACATGATGTCCTGATGCATCTCAGTGCAAAGCTACATGATATTGCTCCTTTAAGACACTGGAAGACATCTGATCCTTTTCTGATTTGTAAATAATAGAAGTCCTCTGTTGACATGTATTACTTGCAAATCAGAAAGAAAATTTGTATTCGCTCACACAACTAGGATGTGCTGTGTATCTATTATTAATTACATAAATAAAATTGAACAAAATAGCTGCAGGTGTTGTATCATTAATTAATCTTCTCTTTAATAAAACTATTTTAGTCTTGGTACCACTGAAATGACAAACTTCAGGTTTTCTACTTTGGAACATGCTCATATTTTCTAATACATGTGGGGATTGTGAGTACCACATCAACGCACACAATAAGACACACTGTTAATTGAATTTCCATATAAAGACTCAACTCTGACACAAGACTTTCTCCAGTGACCATTCATTTCCAAATCACATTGTCTATTGCTTCCTTCAGCAATAAATAACACATGAGAATAAACTGGGTACCACTGGCATTCAATTAGAGCCTCTAATGAACCTGGGCCACCATGGAATAATTTCTCAGAGAAAAAGCAATCTGCACATCAGCTATACCATTACTACGGCCTCTTTAGTCATGCATAGTATCTCTAGGGAATGCTCAGGTCTCCTCCCTAGACTGTGGTGACTAAAATAAAGCCAGWGACAAATGGTCTAATGGGATATTTAAATTTGGGGCCTATAAGTAGTAAAAGCCTTCTCTGCAATTTTGAAATTAGACCAGCGGGAGTGAGATGCTTAAGTGTTTGATAATGGTGTGAGAACATGGCTTGCTCTTCTGCCACTGTTCACATCCTTGCAGTGTTGTGATATAAACAGCAGCAGACCACAGATGTCAACTGTTGTTTAGCATAAGAAAATGTTCACCAATGAKCTGATGTGTAAAAAGATTCAATCTTCTGACTTCATAACAACTCAYTGTTTACAGGCAGTGGACAAACAATGAACAGCTGGACTCTAATAAAATGTTTTATTTGAGAAAAGGATTCTTTCTTTGTCATGCTTTGTCAGCAGCCTTGGTTTTTCTGCAGCTGCCTTCTGTTGTTGTTTCTGGGTTTTCTGGCATTAGTATTGACTTAAGCAAGTAACATCCTGCTTCATCCAGCTGACTATAACTGATTCACTTTGTAACCGCAGAAAATTCCCCTCCTATACCATCAAAGTGTTTGCCAATTGTTTTTCCTGAAAGTTTTAAGCTATTATCCATCTAAAGTGTGAAGCCCTGTATTTTTAGGCTTGCTGCATTTAATTAAATCTTAGAAGAAAAACTGCAGCACCCGGCTGTTGTGTTCTGTCATATCATTAATAAACAGCAATGACCAAATGTCACAGGAAGCCATTAATGTTTATGCCYTTTTGCTGGCTTAACTGATTCAGAAACTATARTGAAACTTTTTCAGGACCCTTTTATACATTTTTTAAAGGTGGGGGGTGTATGCATTTTCCAGGCATYGTTCAATTCTATACCACAACCAAGTAACTATGWTATTGAGTTGTTGTGAAAWTGCAGTATATATTAAAAATAAATTTGACTTTGCATCATAGCCTAGCTGAATGCCTTGAAATTGGCCTCTGTCTCTTTAAAAACCTCCTACCGRTTCCAACACTCTCACTTCAGAATGTCTTCACAACGTTTTGAGGGATGGGTAGTCTGTGGYGRGGGAGCTCGGCTGCAGACTGAGCTRCAGGGGGAGGAGCTTTGTGTAAATAGGTGGTGCTTTATACCAGAAAGCGTTTAGGCAGCTCCACATGGCTACCACAGGAGATTCAAGGATTTCTCAAACATAATGAATGAGTCAAATCAACACTCTGGGTATGTTTTTGATGAAGGAATGACATAACAGGAAAAAAGCTAAAAAATGATTTTGCACAATACCTCCCTTTAATATCTTTCTGCTACAATTTAGTCTGATCCGTCTTAATTTTTTCTAAAGAATGTTGGTATTTTAACAATCTAATCTGGTGTTTCTTTACTCAAGGATTATAAATGGTTTACACACCGAGGTGAACTCAGTGTGTTTGCTTACTCCAAGTTGTCTTGGAAAGTGTCTTTCACTAAACCTATTTTAAGATTTTTTTTTTTTTGCAATTAAAAAAGGGAAACTATGATGTTTTACTCCTCTGAAGCCTTTCTATGTTGCCAAGCTCCACATTAGACTATTTTCCCTCTAAATGCACCAAAGTAGAATTGATTTAACCACTCCCAATGTTCCTGCTTTTTTGATAGATCTGTTCTGTTTGTGAAGCCTAAAAATAGCTTGTTTCATTTCTATTGAGAGCTCTATTGACTGTTGCATGTTTCAGCAATGGCTTCCAAAAGCAGACACCACACTTTGAATTAACAACAGAACTCTAGCCTGGCTTACTGACAAAGAAAAATGTGATAGAAAATGRCAACATTTTAATAGAAGTGCTTTGGACTCAACAAACCATTTCATATTCTAAAAAAATACATTTTACAGATACGGAATTTCTTAAACTTTAATTTAGATGTGAGAAGGACTAAAATCCTTTATAATTTAAATAACTGTAACCTGAGCATATTTTGATAAACACACTCGAACATCAAACACAGCACGAGGGAGAATTATTTTCTTACACAAATTTGGTATTTGTCTGGATAAATAGTTAAGATTCGCTCCTTTCATTTGGAACAAAGCTGTGTATAAGTGCACCTGATCTTTTATTCATTTGTCTGTCTGCAGCTAGTTCCATCCTCATTCGGAAAATAATCCTTGAAATGACAGACCCAGGAACAAACCTTAATAGCTGCAGACAATAATGCTGCTAGTCTTTAAGCAAGGGCCTGTGTTTATCCAACAAACAGGATTTTGAGCAAAATCATGAACAAATGGTGACAAGTTCATGTGCTGCTGCAAACTATCCTAAAATGTAACCAGAACCAAAACTAAAGAGTTTGTTTTACTCTGGCTTATAAATTTGGCTAATTTGAAAGCCAAACTAATTGTGACAAGCTGAAAAATCACATTAACTGGGCTTCTAAACATTACTTTATGTACTTCACTCTGCAGTCACTGAAAATTGGAATGCTAATTTTATAGTTCACAAAACACCAAATGAAAAGAAAGTAAATAAATTAATAAGTCAAGTTCTCTCACCAGCAATCTGTGGGAAGGTCCAGGAACTGCAGCAAGGACCTCTGCTGCAACAGCAGGTCCAATGGTCTCGGCCTGTTCCAGCAGGCACAGCTGGTGCGTGATGCTGTCCATCTCCTCCTGCAGCTTTTCGGTTTCAGCCGTGATCTCMGCAATTTTTTCAGCAGCAGACGCCGTAAGAAAAGCTTCTTTGAGGTCGACCAAGTGAAGGGTTCGCCTCTCCTCCAAAAGAACCAGTCTGCGGAGCTCATCAAACTGACTGTTCACATATTCTTCTAGTTCCTCTGTCGACATCTATTATATGCAAATCAGACACACAAAAAAGAGAGGAAAGACAAAAGAATGACTGGGTTGGAAGTAGYGCAGAGAAACCTTTCTATTTCACAAGACAGAAAGTAACAGTGTTTCTGTGTAGGACTTATGATGAACTGACAACTTGTTAGGCTGTGCTCCACCTCTTGCCCATTGACTACTGGAGTAAGAACGATTCCCTTTTGTGACATGAAACAAGATTAAGCCCAAAGTAAAAAAAAGAAAACTGAACAGGAGACCGAGAAAGAAATACTGAGCTTCAACAAACTATATCAAAAAATACATAAGTTTCAGCCTGAATCATGGATTTAAACATAAATACAAAGCAAGAAATCAAAGTAAGGTAATAAAAGAAGGAAACAATACTTCTGCTTTTCGAGGTTATTTCAGGAAGCCCACAGGTTTCTGTCATACAATAACTAATTGATGGCATCGAGAAGATTATCTAGTGGCAAACCCCATGAATCACATCTGTAGATAGAAAGCTCAAAGGCTTTTTCTACTGCAGAAAGCCGTTTGGCTTTCAAGACGCCTGAACTGCTCTCCAAGATACCTTCTTTAATTCTTTCCCCTATTCCCCGGTGAGAATCTCTTTAGCTATGACTCGTTAAGTTAAAAACACCCTAATAAACTTACCCCTKCTTGAATTCCCTTTTCGTTAAAATGGCTCCATCTTGACAGAAGTTTCTGTCGTGACATAAAGCATCCTGAGGTTTCTTGTCATGATCTTTTCTCCCTAATATGTTATAATTGACTCAGTACAAACATTATCTGCTCCATCTTCCCATTTRCCCCTGGGGCAGAATGCAGTTCCCTTCCTTTCCTTGCATTTCATCTCGTTTCCGGCAGCTTTTCTTTCTCCACTGAAGCAAGGAATCATTGTCTTTAGGTTGACAGAGTGACTGCCCCTAAGGGCCCAAAGTTTTATTATGTATTTGCCATTTCTGCACAAGCAATCAGATTCTCCAAATTGCCCATTAATCCAAGTTCAAGAGGCAACACTTTCAATTTACTGTCTTTGTATAAGAACACAAAAACTTGCACATTATTCATGATGAATAAGACAGAAGGAGTTACTTAACATCTGTTTGGGAAGCAATGAGTTGTTATATTTTTGTCTTTTAGCTTCAACAAACCAACCCTTGAATAGATGACAGATAAGGAATAATACAAAAGCGTTGGACAGGCAACATGTTTCACTAATTTGAAATAAATGTAAAAGTTACTGGTGAATAAGGTAAATTGGAGAAAAGAAGAAATGTTTCTATGTTTTGCTCATATTTGGTAGTTTCTGACATTCTTCTTTGAGCTACAGAGCAAGCTAACTGGATTTAAGTCACTTTTGTACTGGTGCTTAAGGAATTTACCATAATCCAGTTATAAACCACAATGATTACTTCTCAACTAAAATTGCAAAGTCTGAAATTTTAATATGAAGAGCAACACATGCAACAGCAGATTAGAAAAGAAAATGTGTAAAGTTTCAATTTCAAGGGAATAAATTTGCATGTTGTTCAGAGGTTTCAGGAAAAAAAATCAGCTAAATACTATGACATGAACAAAGGGAACAAAATATAAAAATAAAACTTAGCATCTTGGTGCATTATCTGTTAGAAGGTTCAGAATTTCCATCTCCATGTTTTCTGTTATCCAGGACCTCAACAAGACCCTTTGACCTTTAAGGAATTCCCATGGCCTGCATCACAGATGGAGCCTGCAATCCCAGATCTTTGTGTTAGTGGAGAAGCCCTCTGCCATGCGAGCTCTCACACTGAAAAAAAATTGCGTCAATCGCGAGGAAGGAGCATCCATGCGTGCTAATTCTTCATTTGCATTGCTGCAAGCTGAGGCCACAAAATGAGGCCTCAGGAGAAACAACAGAGCACATTGCTTACCCTGGCAGAGTTGTTGTAAGGATGACAGGAGGAGGACAAATGCACATACATTGACAGGATAGTGAATTAGTTTTTTTWAAATTTTATTTAAGCTAAAAAAATTCCATTTGCCTTTTTTACCATATTTTTTTTGTAGAAGCATGACTAAATTGCCTCTTTCAAGRTATATCTACAGGGGTTGTAAAAATATTTTTTCCTCTGACACTTCAAATGACTGTAATGCTGTAACTAACGCATACGTTATAGTTTTGACTGACTGTACAAAAACATTGTTACTTTGATGATAAAATTGCAATGACTAACCAAAGTTAGATCCCCCGGAGGCGGCAGGGCCCCGGGTGTGGATGAGATCCGCCTGGAGTTCCTCAAGGCTCTGGATGTTGTAGGGTTGTGTTGGCTTACGCGAC